GAGAGAGAGAGCGCGCCAGAGAAAGCGTGTGTACGCGCGCATGAGCACGTACTTGTAGGTAGGCCTACTTGTGCTAAGCTGTTAGTGTGCAAGCGGAAACCTGTACGCCTGTTCCACTAAAGATAAAAAGGGAACGCCATACGAGCCAAATTCGAACGGTTTGACAACATTAAGGAGGGGCTTATTATTACACCGCTGACGCATGCGCAAGCACACGGGTGAAGTGATTGCACCTGCTTAAATGACGTAACATGGCTGTACTGGCCTTGGGCAAGCTGTCCTGTTGGTGTTTCATACAAATTTTCTTCCTAAATTTCGAGGGAGCCAATCCAAACGTTTAAATGTTGGCGAACCTACTCTGTTGAACATAATATCACTATCTATGGTGTATGAAGAAAGTGAGTCCATATCATCATAGAACATGACAGCCTTATTTGTATTGCAACGTAAGCTATTGGTATGAATGCAAAGACCCCTATCAACATCGCGCTGTTATTGTAAAGGCCCTATCTTTTGGTCTAAGGTCCATCTTCAATATGACCGAGCCACGTTGATGGAAAACCTTGACAACTCCCTATATAATTCTAAGTTCAAGAATTCTGCTTTGGGATTCGAATCCAGGCCTTCCACATCATAGCCCAACGTGAAACCAACTAAGCTAAGATGAGGCACACTTAACAGATTTTCACTAGGTAAAAGTTAGCGCTGTTGCGACCAGGTCCATGGTAAATAAGATCATATCAAAAGCGGTAGCCTAGCCTTCTTTTCAACATCGCGCCGTAATTGTTATATTTTTAGTAGATCAATGGTAGATTTTTAGTAGATCAGTGGTAGAATCTAGGCCATAATTAAAGTCAGTGTCTGCTCCAGATCAGACACCTGAAGAAAAAAGTTATATTAAGAAACCTTCAATTGCTTAAAAACTGGAAATTTGGAGAGTAGACCGAACTGTTTGTGAACTAGAAAGAGAAAAAGATGAAAAAGTGACATTATTGATTCCCGCTTTCGTCTGATTAGTCGAGGGCATGCTAAAAATAGAGAATCAGCCCACCTTTATATATAGATCTGTATATCCCCAGGGTCTTACAAACACTGGCGTACGTCTGAGTCTATCATAAATCAGACCCTTAAAATAAATTATTTCAATCAAACCCCAGATCAGCAGGTGCTATCGTTGTTAAAATCTTCAATAAAATCTAGGGCCTTCAAAATAAGGGTCAAGGTTATGCATGTATTTTGCCC